AGCTACATGGTTCCTATATTGTAGGACAGAATGAATTAAGTGACCAATGAAACATGGATAAGGAGCCGAGAAGAGAAGAAGAAAGGTCAGAGTAGGCAGGGGAAGTTGGGAGAGAGAACATTGTTTCTTGGCATTAATGATACATCATTTTAATGAAAGTCTCATTTATCCCACCAGGAAGGCCTGTTTCTTGTTCCACTCTCTCTACCGATTCTTGCTTCACTTCATCAGTACTCATGTTAGGCCTTTCTTCTTTCTCTTTTTTGAACTCATAAACTAAGCTCTGTTTATCTAAATGTTTAAGGTCTTTCCCTTCACAAGCTGCTTAACGTTATTTACTTTTAAATGTGTTTATGCGTACTCACTTGGAACATAAGCTCCTTATGGTGACACTGGACCCTCAATCTTCCATAGTTCCTTTTAGAGCTAGGTAGGTCTAGAGGCCCTTCAGTCACCTTGATTTTCAGTTTCCAAAACTGGTCTGGGTAAACAATTTGGAAGTAAGGAGAAGATAGCTATAGCTCTGCTTCTACTCAGGGGCCAAGGAGGGAGTAGTGGGGTTTGTAAGCCCTTTAGTAATCCATTGTTTAATTGGCAAAACATAATTTCAATCAGGAACAAGAATCTCTTCAGGGAATATCTTTATAGACAAACTGGTGTTGGTGCCATAAGTCTCCACAATCTCTTTTTCTTCCAATAAGAAATTTCAGCCAGGGCAGTCACATTTGTATTCGAAGCCTGCCAACTCTGACCAGAAATCAGGTCTCCATTTAAAGTCACACCTTGACAAGTGGATTAGATGTTCTAGTGAAAGGCAGATAAATGTCACTCATGTCACTAAATAAAAGTCAGGGCTGGCTTATCAGCTTGTAGGGTTGAGGTCTTACCTTCGACACTTCTCAGAGTGCTTTACACTTTATTATCCATTAACTGGGGTCTTTTCCATTGAGCCTCTTCCATTTGTACCACAGAGGGAATTACACTGTTCACTCTGAGGAATGTGTGACTTCTGTCAACAGCCTGTCTTCCTTTAAGAGACAATACAACCTGTGGCCTTAAATGGAAATCTGCCAGAATTTCCTCAAATGTCATATTACAGAAGGAAATGGAGTAGGCTCCTTTCATTGTGCTGGATGTAGGACATCTTGCACCTGCTTTACCAGCAAATCATGTTGTAGCAGGCCCTGATCAGGAAGGTTATAGTTTAGACTCAAACATAAGATTTGTCATCGAAATCTATGTAATACCAAGTATGGATTTAGGTCTGTGTTTTTATCGTATCTTTCTCCCTGAAACCTAGTACATGTAGCCAAACTTACTAAATGTGTCAGTAGTAGCAAGTACTGATTTCTATATATATAGCCTCAGTTCTCAAAGCAGCTAAGGAAGGCAAGTGTTTTGCAAACAGTAATCTCACTGTCAGAAACATTTAGAGACTGGCTGGCAAAAAGGCTTTAAGGTGACCACAAAAATGCAGTCTGCTTGGTTACAAATGCCTGGCTATTTCACAAAAGAATCTTTCTCACAAACATTAGACTACACTTCTCATTGTTATGTTTTTTTGTGGCTAGGGATGTGATATGGTTTTAGTTGACTTAAGATGTGAGCAGAAGCTGGATGATGGTGGCATACTCCTTTGATCCTAGCACTCAGGAAGCAGAGGCAGGCAGATCTCTGTGAGTTCAAGGCCAACCTGATCTACAAATCCAGTTCCAGGATAGCCATGTCTATACAAAGAAATCCTGTCTTGAAAAACCAAAAAATGTGAGCTTTAACGGTGGAGCCTTAGAACTGAATAATATTTCTGATTATACTATCAGCGTATCCTTACTGGAGCTTTAAAATGCGTCTTTTAATTATCTACATTTCTATATTACACTTCTTTCCTTGTGTTTCTGAGCTACCTTGTAAAGGTCAATGAGGCTAGAATTGTACATAAACAAACATGTTCTGAATAATTCCTCACCAACATCCTTTTTACTTTTGTCTTCGAAGTACACTTGGAGATTATAGTGGTTAATCTTCACTCTCACGCTGACTAGGTTTAAAATCGACTAGAAGATTTACCTCCCGGGTGGCCTGTGAGGCTGATTCCTGAGTGGTTTAGCTAAGGAGAGAAGACTCCTCTTACATGTGGACAGTACCATGCCAAAAAGCTGAGGGCCCAGCTGGAATAAAGAGGAGGGGAGGTGAAAGCCCATTGGGCGAGGGCATTCATCTCTCTCTACTTCCTGCCCTGCCCAGATGGCAGTGATACCCCAACAGAAGGCCTTCTCTACTGTGATGGACTATGATGCCTCTAACTATAAATAAAATAAATCCTTTCTCTTGTAAGTTGTTATCAGGATTTTGTCACAGCGATGAGAAAGAGGCTGCGTACTGCGCACTGTACTGAGAAGTAGAGCCCTGAGTGATAAACTTGACAGTTTGTGGGAATATGGCAGCATGAATAATAAAAACCCAGAGACAGATATTAGGGTTTAATCTGAAGATCGGAAAAGCAAAGCAACCAACCATTAGAGAGACCTTTTACCTCTACCAAATCTTCAGACCGAAAGGGCGAGAGCCTGTCTTCATGAACAAACTCCACTGAATTTCTGTCTCTTCCCCTTTATATCCCTCTCTCCACTCAGCCATATAACTCCTGTCCCCACTTCCCTATTGCTTTGTGTGAGCTCTATTTCTCTTTCAGACAGAGTCAATCTTGTGTGTAGTCCAGGGTGGCCTGGAACTCACAGAGTTCTCTGTCTCCCTAGTCTTGGGATTAAAGGTGTGTACCACTCCGCGGCCTGTATGACTGACTCGTATGGCTGCATTGCCCTCTGATCTTCAGAAATGCTTTATTTATTAAAACACAAATAATATACCACTATAGAACTTGACTTCATTTTGTCCGTGTCCTAAAAACTTGAGCAAACCTGAATCAAAAAGTGATGGATTAAGTTATTGGGTGGAGGAAATTCCAAGTCAGCAAAGCATTCAGGCTGTGACTCGGTTACCACTTACTGTGCTATCTATGCTTAGGCTGAGAGAGTAGAAAGATAGGACAACAATGTGCAGTTTGGTGAGTAAAGGAGAGCAAACACGATTAAAGAAACAGACAGGGAGGGGTGCAAAGCTCTAATTCCTAAAGTACTTAGCACAATTAAGGAGAAACGTGAGCCAAGGGCAAAGTAACTCACACAACAATAATGACCACATATTATTTAGGTGGTGAGGAACATTTAAAATGGAGCCCAGAAATCTGAAAGACAAGCTTTGGATGGGTTCCAGAAACAGAAGCTAGTAGCTCCCTTTTCTAGCTTTGTGTTCTAAACTGCAGCTTTTCAATGTCTTTAACCTTTAGGCCTCTCTGTACTCGTTCCCCCCAGTGTTTATTGCATGTATATAGCCCTGTGGGTTTTGCCTTTATAAATCTCTAACATATAATATGGTGCCATACTATGGGAATCCTGGGTATGGATCTGGTCAGTGCCCATCATTCTGGCCAGTATTTAATAAAGCTTGCTTCAAATTTGGCTCAAAAATTGTAGTAGTGGTCTTGTTCTTGCCTGGTTGGGATTTACTTCACCATAAGAAGACCCACCCTGGAGCCTGGCCTCACAGGTGGCAAACGCAAACTTCAGAATCATCTGTCCTTGCAACAAATCATACCTTTATTCTCATACATTAGAGGAAAAGTTTCTTAAACAGAACTCACATGGAACGTTTACTGGGGAGGTGAGGGAAAGGGAGACAGAGAGAGCAGCCTCTGGGGTTGGGGGCAGCAGGAGAAAGACAGTGATGAACAGAATTAAATTGAAAGCAATGTAAAACAGGGTGCCACATCCTGATGAGCTGAATTCATGTGGAAGATGAGGTGTGAAGTCAGGCTGGACTTCTTTGCTGGGAGAAAGGGAAGAACGAGCAATATTTGAATTGGCAAAAAGTGGTGGGGGCACTAGCACTTTATACCCAACAAGGTGGGAGTGAGGAAGAGATGCAAGTTGGGGGGGAAGGAAGGCAGATGCGACAGTGGAAAGTTTCCAGCCACTTATTGTGGCTAAACAAATGAGATGCCAAGGCCAGACCCTGAGTGTCTCTGACCCCAAAGTTATGACGTTTCCTAACAAATCTCATTTTGCACGTGAACTAAGTCACTGTTCATAAGTTCCCAACGCTACCAGAAAGAAGGCAGTAGCATTTGGAACTGTTTCCTACTCGAAGACCAAGGAGGCAAAGATTTTTTTTTCTGAAATATATAGTTCATAAAGATGAAATATGAGCCAGGTATGGTGATGCATACCTTTAATCCAAAGCCTCAGGAGGCAGAGCCAGGTGTATCTCTTTGAGTTCAAGGCCAGCCTGGTCTACAGAGTGAGTTCCAGGATAGCCAGGGCTACACAGAGAAATCCTGTCTCCAAGAGTAAAAACAAATAAATAAATAGAAAGAAAGAAAGAAAGAAAGAAAGAAAGGAAGGAAGGAAGGAAGGAAGGAAGGAAGGACGGACAAAAGAAAAAGAACAATGAAATATCAACCGTAAAAGAAAATAAAAATTGAAAATGAAGACTTGCATGGTGAGGCCTTCAATCCCAACACCCAGGATTTCAAGTTCAAATGCAATCTGAGCTTTATAAATAAGTACTATCTCAACAAATAAAAAAGGAAGAAGAGGAGGAGGAAGAAGAAGAGGAGAGGGAAGAGGAGGAAGAGGAGAAGGAGGAGAAGGAGGAGGAGGAGGAAGAGGAGGAGGAGGAGGAGGAGGAGGAGGAGGAGGAGGAGGAGGAGGAGGAGGAGGAGGAGGAGGAGAAAAACCATTTACCAATGTCAGAACCTCTAGCACCTCGAAATGTGAATGTATTTGAAGACAGGTCCTTTAATGAGCTAATTAAATGAGGCTATAAGGTCTTAAGCCCTTATGCTTGACCTCCTTAATAAAAGCAGGAGTTTGATGCCAGTTGAAGTGACTCCAAGAAAGGCAGGAGAGGAATCACAGGGCTGGGCTCGAGGTCTTAAATACCTTATAGGCGTGGTCTTGAGCAGTTCCTGGGGAGGAGCTGACCCTTGGCAGGCTTTCTGAGGTGCAGGATCTGGAATGGGAGTAGTGAGACCTGAGCAGAGATTCCAAACACATACCTTGTAAGCCTTTCCAAAAGTTGTCACCAACTGGGGACCAAGCATTCAAATACCTGAGACTATGGGGGAAATCTTATACAAACTACATTTATCAACCAAATTACAAGAAGGGAAGGATTTTAGCTGGGTCTCGAAAACCCCTGGAACCGGTCTTACAACTGTTCCTCCTATTGTAGACTAGCAGAAGTTTCCTTATTTTTCCTTTGTTTTTTGCAATAGGGTCTGACTCAGGCTGGCCTCCTGCCTCTTCAACCTCTTCAGTGATACGATTACAGGTCCTTGCCTCATTGCCAGACCAAGAAATTTCAATGCTTATCATTTTATACAGCCTTAATTTTCTTTACATTTCAAAACGCAAAACTGTCTGTGATGGCCTCTCCTGGGTTCAATATAGCAAGCAGCTTGCCTGCAAATTTGTGTTCTTACAAAAAATAGCGCATCCCAGGGGAACCAAACTATCTAGAAGGGCTATTTCCAATTAGAATGAGAAATTTCATCATAGATATAATATTCTAGGATTTTTATTTTTTTACTATCCTTAAATTAAACATGGGCTAACTACCTAAGTTCCACGCTAGCATTTAAATCAAGTCATTGAATCACTGAGGAAGGGGCAAGATTTACTGCCTGACAGGTAGCAGAGAAACACAGAGGCCTCTTGAGGTGAGCCTTTGGGATTGAGTGTGATTTGTCAGGCCAAGAGGGGATTCGGGGAAGAGAGACTTCCAAGCTTGAACAAATGGACACAAATACCTCCTCTTTCATACTTCTTTCATATGCTGAGGGAAAATATTTGAAGCCACCAGAAAACAAGGGATAAAAATATCATGTTGGTTTGAGAACAGAGGATTAAACGATCCTTACGAACAAGCAAGCAATTTAACCCTTTGGCAACCTGGCTTTAATCTGTTAAGTGTTACAAAAATGGTACAGCAGGACCACAGGATGGGTGGAGCTGTTACACTTCCAGCAAACAAGCCTTGTTTCAAGGTCAGGCTGTTACCGTCCACACACAGACACAAACACAAACACACTCTCACAAAAGCAGCCCCTTTCAGCTTTTCCTTTCTTGTCTGCTGCCTGACCTGAATCTGTTTTTTTTTTTTTTTTTTTTTTCTGTTTGGAGAATCCTTTCCCCACTGGAGTCACCAGCCTGACACCGCCAGCCAGCACCAAAGGCTCAAATGGTTATTAAATAAGACAATTCTTTAGTTCCTTGCCTTAGCACATTGTAAGTGCGCAACAAATGCTAGAACACGACACTAGCAAGTGCTGATACACTGAGTGAATAGAGGCAAGGTTCAGCAAATTCTTGCTAGCCTCTGCAACTATTTAAAGTGACTTGTTGGCCTGAGAAATGGCTCAGCAGCAAAGAATTCATACTGCTCTTCCAAAAGAGCAGGGTTCGACTCCCGGCACCCACATCAAACAAATTATGGCGGTTTGTAACTCCAGTTCTAGAGAATCTGACGCCTCTGGCCTCCACAGGTTCTAGCCCTCATGCACATACCCACACGCAGACATACACACATACGAACAATCAAAAATAATTCTTGAACATTTTTAAAGTTGCTTATGCAAAACACGATTTTAAATTGTAAAATATCCTATGATGCTTTTTCATAGTTCTGCCTAGTACAGTAGCATCAAAATGAGAGAAATAAGGAAATGGGAACCAGAGCGCAGGCCAACACTGATCTGTGCGAAAGGAAGCGAGATAGGCCACGCCTTTCGAAAGTCGTAACCACACCGGCAAGACCCTGCTACCGCAGGCCTGCTGTGCCACGCGTCCCGGGGACTACTGCGGGCGAAGACGGAGGCCCGGAGCCAGGCTCTGGAAGGCTCGATCCTAGAACGCCGCGAGCCAGGCCTTACCATCCCGCCACACAGCCTGCCCATGCCAGCCACAACTTGTGCCGTCTAGGAGCTTAGCCGAGCTCCTTTCCCGGCTTCCCCCGCGGCGGGGCGTGACGCCACTTCCGGTCCCTGGCCGCACGTGAGAGGAAGTGTTGCTGCCCGCGCCCGCTGCTCCTGCCAGTCCCGTTGGTTACACTAGCCCGCTGGCCCGGCCGCTGCTCCGTGCCGCCCGCTGGTCATGGGAGTCCCGGCGTTCTTCCGCTGGCTCAGCCGCAAGTATCCGTCCATCATTGTCAACTGCGTGGAGGAGAAGGTGAGGAGGCGGTCATTACGCCGTGGTGGGGACCCGGCGCGGCACGTCTAGGCCGCGGCCCTAGGAGCCGGGCTCCTGCCCCAGGCAGCCTCGCGGGCCGCCCCGCGGGTTCGCGGTTCCGGAGACGGTCAGGGCAGAGCGAGGGAGAGTGGGGGCGTCCGTGGGGGCTTGGGCGGCTCCTCTCCCGCCTGCCAAGCCGGACACCCGGCCTCTGTCCATGGCTTTGTTTCCTTGACTGCCCTGCAGCTCAGGGCTCGGAAGGGCGCCCTGGCTGGATAGACCCCTGACGCGGGCTGCAGGGATGGCAGGATGGGGACCGCTTGCTGGTCCACACGCGTATTGTTTCCGGTGGCCGGATCGCGTGTTTTTCACTCGAGCCTGGCAATTTGTTGCTGTTAACCGTACGCGCAGAGCGGCTAGTTCCGAAGGACTGGGACGGGGGAGCCGTTTCACTTTCCGGATTCTCAAGTGGTGTTAGTTTACGAGTTTGTGGGTAGGCTTTTAGCCGTTCCGATTCGTGGGCTTTGCTTTCATCGTTCCCGTGATTCTGTCTGAGTTCGACTTTGTACTCTCAGTTAGAATTTCTGGATTGGAAAAGTTCCGTACACATATGTCCCCTCCCACTTTTGGCTTTAGAACCTAGTACTCTCTTGTCTTCAAGAACCTATTTCTCCTGCTTTAGGTTATTTGCTTTTTTTTTTTTTAACCTCCTGTCTTAGAAGAAACCACACGCGTTGTTTTGGTGACAGTCCTAGCATTTCTTGTGTTCTCAAAAGACAAATTGCTAAGCTGAATCATTGTTTCCTTTGTAAAACTTTGTTTCCCTCGGCCAGAGGGAAAGCAACAGTTCCTTTATCCGTCCTTTTCGGTCTGGTCTTCTTTTCAAAGTCACTTTGAACTGTTGTGGTTCTATTTCTCACTGTGTTTATATTTGGTTTATGGGTCTCAGGACTATCTAATTCTAGGTGGAAGAGGAACTAGACATTTATTTACCGCCACTCTGCCTTCCTAATGCTAATACACATATCTGACAATGATAAATTTTGTAATTTAACCGAGAATGCCTTTAAATTTTTATCATGCGCACGCCTTTACCCCAGCACTCAGGAGGCAGAGACAGGCTGACCTATGAGTTCCAGGTCAGCCTACTCTACATAGGAGTTCAAAGCAAACCAATCTACATAGGCGTTCAAAGCAAACCAAGGCTTACATGTGAGACCCTCTCTCAAAACAAACAGAAATTCTGTCGCCTTTATAAAGTATTATTTTACTAGTTTCTGTAGTCTATACAAAGTAATCCTTTTCTAGTTTCTAAGACTGATGTTAGCTTTTCCCCATCAAACTGTCTTAAGTCCCAGTCAGCTGTACTTTAGTTCTCCTTCAAGATTGTCAAAGCTTTGACCATATGAACTGCGAGAAAAGTGGTCTTGCTGACTGTTATATATGTGATTAATTTAGGTTGCTTATCTTTTATTTAAACTGGCCCCTCCAATTTCCTCATCTTTCACCCCTCTTACCTTTCCCCATGCAAATTATTTTATTATGCATTCTGTCAAGACCTTTTGTTCATTAAGCCTCTTTAATTTTTCCTTGAATGAAGAATCTCAATGCTTAGCCACAAACTCCAGGCTCTCGCACTCAGCCTCCTGTGTGCTGGGACTAGGGATAACCACGTACACTGTCACTCCCGTTTCGTCTTTATGTCCGTTTTCTTCACAACAGTTTTTTTCAGTATGCTTCCTGGAGGTGATTTCTGGGAATTACTGTTTCCTGAATTTTATCTTTCTTGGCTTAAAGTGGCCCTTCATTTTTGTTTTTGAATTGAATTCTTAGGAAATGCCACTGTGTGTTACCTGAATTTTCTGTTTTCTGTTCTGAGTTTTCATTTTAGGTTCCAAATACCTTTATTCTCCCCATGATTGAGTCCAAGTTGGAAACTCAGTTCCCATGAAGATGTTGGAACCATTCTTTTCAGCTATTATTGTTGATGAAAAGTTCAGTTTAAATTTTCATTATTTAAGACACTGTCTCACTATGTAACTCTGGTTGGCCTGGAACTCATAGATCTGCCTGTCTCTGCCTCCCAAATGCCAGGATTGAAGGTGATGGCCAGTAGGCCTGACTGTTTATGTGATATTTGTTTATTTAACCAAGATTTTGGTAGCATTTACAATGTATCAGACACTGTTTGAACACTTTATTGATAATAGGTTGATAGGTGCTTATAACTGTCAGTACCATTATGAAAATTAGGAAAGCCATGCTTCTAATGTATGACCCTCCCATATCATTCTTTGGAATTGATCAGTCTTTTTACTTTTCATTGTGCCTTTTTACATATTGACACCTCTAGATACCAGTTGTCCTTCCCTTACAGTGTCTTGCTCCTCTCTTGCTCATCTTTGTTCCCAACTAGTTACCCTCCTACATTGACTTTGTGTGAATTGGTCAGTTTTATTAGTGTTGTTTAGAAGAATGTGGGTGAGAGGATTTTTTTTCTTTCTCTTCTTAGTTTTTGTTATTCAAGACAGTGTTTCTCTGTGTAGCTCTGGCTGTACTGAAACTCATTATGTAGACCAAGCTGACCTGAAACTCAGAGATGTACCTGCCTCTGCCTCCCAGGTGCTGGGGTTAAAGGTGTGTGCCACCAGTGCCTAGTGAAAGTTTTTGGGTGTGTGTGTATGTATGTGTGTGTGTGTGCAGACACACGTGCACCCTGAACAGAAGTGAGGGACAATAACATGTGTGCCTTGGCATGTGTATGGAAGTCAGAAGACAACTTTTGTGAACTTGGTTTTTTTCTTCTAAGCAAGCACCTTAACCCAGTTGAACTTGTGGTTGACCCCTACTAATAATAGTCTTCATGGCTCATTGACATTGATGTTACATAGACTTTGAGATTGATATTGTTGCATCGTTTTCATATTTGAAACAATAGCTCAAACTTTCCAGGAACTCAGGATTGTTTCTACAGTTTTAAAAAATATATATTTGTTAATGAATTTCATTGTCACTTTCTCAATGTGTTTATTTACTCCCTCCCATTACCTTCTTTCGGCCCAAGTCTGGAATCCTCATGAGAGCATGCATGCATTATTTGTCTTAGCCTGCTTGTTTAGCATAATAATTTTCTTTTGGTAGTTGTAGAGTTTCAGGTCTAGCATTTAAGGTTTTGATCTAATTTTGAATTTATTTTGTACTAAAGAAATACGGTCTGGTTTGTTCTTTTGCATGTAATACTCAGTTCTGTAGAAATGTTTGTTGAAGAGACTGTTTTTCTCTGGCTTTTTTTTCTTTTTTTGGCCCTTGTGTCAAATGCATGAAGGCTATTGCTGTTTTATTTTTGGGTCCTCTATTTTATTTCTTTTTTACATGTCTTGTGATTGGTAACAATGCTGTTTTTGTTACCACAGCTCTGTTGTATAATTTGAGATTGAGTGAGACCTCTAGTGTTCTTTCTGCTCAGGATTGCTTTGGCTTTTTGTGCTACCTTATGAATATTATTTCTCTCTGTAGAAAATGTCATTGGAACTTTTATATAGATTATATTGAGTCTGGATTGCTCTTGGGTCAATCCAAGGTATGGGAGGTTTTCGTCTCCTAGTGTCTACTTTCTTTAGTGTTTTGTTTTGGAGATCTATGTGTGGTGCAGACACACGGGTATGTGGTTGCTTGTGCTGTATTTCTTATGTGAAGAGGCTGAAGGACGACATTGGTATCTTTCTTATTTACTTCCTACTTTATTCATTTAAGACAGGGTTTCTCACTGAACTGAAGCTCACTTTTTAGATGAGGCTAACTAGCTAGCAAATTTCCAAGATCTCCTTGTGTTACAGTTCCAACTCTAGGTTACAGTTAGGCGCAGCCTGCTTTTTGCAACACAGATCCTGGGATTCAGAATTAGATGCTCAGTTCTTACAGAGCTCGCACACTTACCTTTTGAGGCATAACCTCATTATAGAGTTCTTTTACATCCTTGATCATACTTACTGTAGAATGGGGTTTGTTGACTTTGTTTTTGAAGCTGTTGTGATGGGATTTTTTTTCCCCCTAGTTTTTCAGCATGTTCATTATTTGTATGTAGACAAACTGCTGTTATTTGAGACAGGGAGTATTGTTCTATAGACCAGGCTGACCTCTAACTCACAAGATATCTATCTGCCTTCCTAGTGCTGGGATATGTTTGCCATTTGTCTTGTTTTGTCTTTTCAAATGATACGCCTGGATTGAATCCAAATAATACTATTCACATGTATATGGGGGTGTTGGACTGGGGCATCAACAATGTACTGGAGGTTATACCCCCAAAGAAAATTGACTCCCTTCTCTAGCTAGGGGCAGGACTTTATGAGTCCTTCCTTCATCCTTGCTAGAATGTTGACTGGCTTGGTCTTGTATAGGTTTTGTGCTGGTAATTCCAGCTTCTCATGAGTGCAACGACCATGTCATGTCCATAAGATAGCATTTTGCAACACCCTTCTCCACCCTCTAGAACTTAGATTTTTCCTCTTCCATGATGTTCCCTGAGCCTTGGTGGCATGAAAGTTGATGTCCATTTAGGGATGAACACTTAATAGCCACTTATTCTCAGCTGTTACTGAATAAAACAAAACAACCATACTTTATTTTGTGTGTGCATATGTTTGTATATGGCTGTGCCTTGGTGTGTCTGTCGAGGTCAGAGAACAAATTTGGTTCTCCTGGGGTTCAAGCTCAGTTCATCAGGCTTGTTGATAGTTACCTTTATCCCAAAGCTATCTTGCCGGCCCTTTTGCTGGTTTTATTTTAATGTTGATTTTATACCATGAT